GCGTCTCTAATTGTTATTCTATTAAGTTGTCGGTAATCTATGCACAGCCTTAAAGCGCAGCAAAGGGACTTTGCTTACTCGGGGCGATCACACCTTGTTCGCATAACTTTCCGATGTGTTCTTTTACCTCTGGAACCTGATTCGGTGGTATTCGTCTGTACGGTATTCTAATTGGATGCTCAGTTGTCAGTGGTATGTTATGTTGGACACCCGTAGCTGTACCTATTGGCCCACTTTCATTAGCAAAAACGTCACTATATTCTTCTAACAGTCTTATTACTTCCTCCTTTTGATTTGCAGTTAAATGTTCATCAAAGATTTCTATTTCAGGCAACTTCACATGTCCAAATTTAACGCTGCAATGTTTAACTTCCCTCTCTTCTATTTCCTCTGCTCTCGCAACTTTGCCTATCCGCCAATTCCTTCTTAATTTGCATATTGTTTTAGATAGGTTTGCTATTAGCGTATACCCCTTCCCATTCTTTACCAGGACCATAGCAGGCAGCGTCACTATCCCGTCAGGAACCCATCCTTCCTGTTGTCCTGTCAGTGGCTCAATCAACACTACCTGGCTTTTTACCTGCCTTAATTGTGGGATCCAGACTGGCACCAATCTCATACTAGATGCTGGGATTACCGGTATTTGTGCCTTCCCGGTCAATGCAAACCCCCAGTCTTCTTTCAAATGTAATTTGCGGAGTGCCCTCACATCACTTATATAGTCCTTCCATTCTTCCAAGTCAACACTTGTTTTACAGAGATTGTACATTACCGGCCATACTTCCGCCACCTCTGACAACACATCAATGCCTAACAAACAACTGTAACTCTCTCCCACTCTATCACAAACTAAAAATACTGCATCAACCTTTGTCCCACAGATTCCGACATTAACTTTTACACTCCCTTTACACGGTACTATACCACCACCGACTGACCTAATGCTAATTTTAACCGGTTGAAGTTTTATCCCATATGGTCGCAAATAATATTCATAAACTTCAGAACTAATTAAAGAAACTTCCGCTCCCGTGTCACACAACCCAACAACATCTACCCCTTCAATATTTACAGTGACCACATTTCTATCCTCGTGTACAGTGACCACATTTCTATCCTTTTTACCACCGGATAGGTTGCTTCCTGTCCGCGACGCGTTCTTCCACGCTGCTGTTGCCAGGCCCCTTGGGTTGGCGGTCCGTG